CCTTGCTCTAAGTTACGATAAAAGGAAGCTGAATGCCAAATTTGGTGATTCTAGCTCTTATCATTTTAGGAGGAATTCTTGAACAAATGGACTTATGGATGGATGGACACAGACGGACTCACAAATTCTCCCAAAAATACAGTAGACAAGCAATAGTGCATAAAATGTACATAGCACAGCTTCTTAATTAGTAACATCTCCCCATTAAAAAAAAATGTTGGCACTCAATATAATTCTTAGTAATACACTATCATACAGATTGTACCTGTTTGGTCCGGCACCCTCAGGACCTGACCGGTTCCATACCAGAGAATTTTCTGGACTACCAGAGGTCAATATTATTTAGCACCATTACCAACACTTCCACTGTTTACTGAGCTGTTACAGGACATTTAGGGGTAAATTAGAGCTAAAGAACAGCACAGAACACTGAGAACTAGGACTGTAGGTTATATACAAACTTTATGGGGCTGTGGGAAACTTGGCCACACCCATGAAAAGTGGACATCCAGCTAACTAAAACATTTCAGATGATGGATGTTTCCAGACCAGAGAGTTCTGAACTAGAGAGGTTCAACCTATATTAATACACATTTCATTACTCACTATTCTTGCTAGTTTCTATACAATATAAAGTGAAAAATATAAAGGTTTACATACACCCCATAAGCATACGTTTCAACATCTATAACATCACATAGATCAATCACTCTAATTCTATCCTTTTCCACCAGCACATCACACTAAAAAATGCATAGAACTCTGAAGTCACATACCCTGGGACTATAATCCTTTTTACATTGTAGCTATCAGTTATTCATGCACTTTAGATAATAAGAAATATATATTCATTTCCACTGCAGAACAAAACAACGGTGAAAATTAAGGCTGCGTGAATACTACATATCAGGTTACTGACACATACTGGGAACTGGCGTGTTCATTTCTGTCTTCTTAGCGTTTAGGCATTTCCTTAAGGTATAGTTTTTTGGGGAAGAGAAGGTAATTGGAGTAGCGAGAGGTGTATAGCTGCAATCTGCTGAAACAGGCTTTCATCCTTTATTCACCAAGGGTTATAAAGGAGTAGTCAGTTTCAGTTCACTTTATGAGAGCAAGAATACGGGCCAAATCCCATCCCGAGGTGCTTAGATGCCAAGATTCCCAGACAGCAGAACCAAAACAGTTCCCCTGCCAGAGGTGGGGGAGGGGGAGGAGAAGATTTGGGGAACTGCACAAAAGGTGCATGCCCTCTACATGGCATAAATCTCAACTCCCATGGGGTCTCTCCATAGGGAAGTGTGCAGCAAGCATTTGGGGGGCAGACACAGCGGAACCAGAGAATCCACAACTACCCTGCTGTCCTTTCCCTTCACTCCGCAGATGGGGCAGCAGGGCCTACTGTACGATGTCGGTGCTACCACTCTATGGCCTTTGGGAGTGAATTCCTTTCTGCCTTCCTGGGGAATTCATCAGTGCCCAGTCAAATCCTTGTGCTGAGCATCAACGACCGGACAGTCCCCTAACTGAAAGGATATTCACGGTTCCTTTTAGAGCTGCTCTCTGGAAACACTCCGGCTACGTCTACACTGGCCCCTTTTCCGGAAGGGACATGTAAATTTCACCAGTCGTAGTAGGGAAATGCGCGGGGGATTTAAATATCCCCCGCGGCATTTAAATAAAAATGTCCGCCGCTTTTTTCCGGCTTTTAAAAAAGCTGGAAAAGAGCGTCTACACTGGCCCCGATCCTCCGGAAAAAGTGCCCTTTTCCGGAGGATCTTATTCCTACTTCAAATTAGGGCCAATCCTACTTCAAAGTAGGAATAAGATCCTCCGGAAAAGGGCACTTTTTCCGGAGGATCGGGGCCAGTGTAGACGCTCTTTTCCAGCTTTTTTAAAAGCCGGAAAAAAGCGGCGGACATTTTTATTTAAATGCCGCGGGGGATATTTAAATCCCCCGCGGATTTCCCTACGACGACTCATGAAATTTACATGCCCCTTCCGGACCTTGTATGTCACCCTATAGCCACATTACACAATGAGGTGGTTAGACTGCAGAAGAAAGCTACACCATGGCATACATTTACCGGCCAGCTGTGATACCACCAGAAAAAATGCCTTTCCCAAAGTAACCACCCTGCAATGAACCATGCATTTGCCAAAAGTCCTAGCTCAGTCAGGCAGCCAGTGAAGAAACGTCCTTCCAGAACAGGATAGCTTCTAATTCAGCATGTTTCATTTTTGTCTTCAGTTGCCCATAACCTTTCTACTGTCAAGAAGGAAAATGGAATTGCATCCAGTCGTTCTCTCCTCGTGTACAGTAAGTAGCAGCAAATCTCTCTGATTTACACCCTTGGTAATAACATTCTCCTCTTCTCCACTAAGCTAAGCACCAAACAAACGGGCTTTTGAAACAATGCAGATTTCAGATACACTCTCAAAGTTTACTAAACAATTTCTCTGAGAAAGAGAGGATAAAGCACCAGAGAGAGGTTTGTTTTTTTAAGAGCACTCAAGGCCTAGACTTCATGTTAGTTTTCTATTGACCAGTAAGACAAGAAACTGCCATTTTCACTTTTGAGTAATTTCATGAAAATGTTATTTTTTCCCAGTGAAATTCGCATAAAACAAATCACTCTGAAGCCAACATGTTCCAATTGCGAACTCCCACAGGGCACAGAACTGCTCATCAAGGCAACCTTTAAAGCCCACATTGCTAAGAAAGGGGAAGAGAATGCCTTCCCAGGCATCTGCTTAAAGAATCAGAGGAAAGATTGAAACCAAAGCATCACAGAACTACTTCTGTACTATTTACCGAGCACAAATCCAGCACTTATCATCTCCAAGACAGCCTCGGTTCTAAGTGGATACAGTATTCAGTTCAAATATTGAAATCCAATACAGATTAATACCTGATTTAATCTACCAATCTGTTACTAAATTTATTTAAAGGCTGCTTGGTATTTCCATTATAATTCCTTACAGTGTGGTGATGAGGAGCTAAATATTGCAGCTGTTTCAGATTTCATTAGCTCAAAACTTGGTACCGTGCACAAACTGTCAGAATCAGCCACTGCTTCTAATGGTCTTTTCACTCAGTTTTAGATGCTTGCCAGAAAACCCTACACAGCAAACAGTGCCATTCAAAATCTAAATACATTTAGCATTTTCAACTAACAACTAAAGGCCACATTTTCTAACACAGACTGAAATTACTACTGTGGTGTACCATACACCTCTTCTTACACTCACAAGCCTCATTTGTGTGGTTTTTTTCACATGCAAATCAAGTACAGGTTGAACCTCTCTAGTCTGGCACTCTCTGGCCTGGCAACATCCATGTTCCGGCATGATTTTAGTCCGCTTATTATGGGTGTGGCCAAGATTCCTATGGTTCTCCCATAAAGTTTGTTTATAGCCACCAGTCCTGGCTCTCAGTGTTCTGTGCTGTTCTTTAGCTCTAATTTACCCCTTAAATGTCTTCTAAGAGCCGAGTAAGCAGTAATAGCGTTGGTAATGCTGCTAGACAATATTGACCTCCCGTGATCTAGCAAATTCTCTGGTTTGGCACCAGTCGGATTCCAAGGTTGCTGACTAGAAAGGTTCAACCTGAATCCTCTGCATCCCTGACTTCATGATCTGAAAGTGAAAATGGATTTGCACATAACTGACAAGCATAGTGCCACAGTTTGCTTTTGAAAATGTAATGCTAAAGGACTATTTGGCATCAAAGTGACTTATGTAATTTTGATCAACTGCTAGATTTGACTGGTAGATTGATAGGAAAGTTTGATATTTTAGTTTAGTAAAATAAGTGATATTTTGAGACTTGGTTCCATTAGCAGAATAACACACAGGCAGCCTCCCTCCTCCCCTTGGTTTTGATGCCCCTGGACCCCCAGGATGTGCAGGGGGGGGGAGAAGAGGAGCAGAATGTTCTTTGTGCCCAAATAATCTTAATCTACCTCTTCTTGGCTCTGAAGAAATTTCTCTGAAATATCCAGAATCACTAAGGCTACATCTATACTGCAGCCTTCTTCCACAAAAGCTTATGCAAATGAAGCATGGAGTAGAATATCGCTATATGTGCTCCATTGGCATAATTAATTAGCAGCCATTTTTGTGCAAGAGGCTTTTGCACAAAAAGGAGCTGTCTAGATGGCTCCTTTTTGCACAAAAATCACCTCTTGCGCAAGAGCCATTCTTCCTGAAAAAAATGAGGAAGAACGGCTCTTGCGCAAGGGGGGGGAGGTTGTGCATAAAGGAGCCATCTACACGGCTCCTTTTTGCACAAAAGCCTCTTGCGCAAAAACGGCTGCTAATTAATTATGCAAATGAAACAGAAATATTCTACTCTGCGCCTCATTTGCATAAGCGTTTGCAGAAGAAGGCTGCAATATAGACGTAGCCTCCATTGTGTAATAACTAATCTATATAAACATGGAATTGTATTTTGATTATTCTCCCTCCCCCTTTCCTTTTTTGTTTCCTACATGCTTTTGGTTTTTGTTATCTCAAATTAGACTATAAACTCTTCAAGGGAAGGACTGTCTCTTATTTATTGTCTGCAAAAACCTGGATTCTGATTATATTGAGACCTAGAGGAAAAAACTGTCGTCTACCACAATACAAATGAAAACATAATCTTAGTTGAATATATGTAAAGCCAGAAGGAACCATTAGCTCATCTAATCTGACCTCCTGTGTAAGACAGGCCAGAGAATTTCCTTTAGTTATTCTTATAGTGAGAGCAGAAAGTTATGTTTGATTGAAGTATTCCAGCAATATTCATGCAGCATCCATCTCACCAATACTATTTTTGTCTGAATAACACTGTTTAGTCCTGCAGCTACTTGCTCACATGAGCAGTTCCACAGAAGTTAATGAGACTGCTCACACAAGCAAGAGCTTCAGAATGAGGTTCCTACCCTTACACTAACCAGATTTAGCCATAAAAAAAATATTAGAACTTTTAAGTGACGACCATTTCCATTTGTACTTACAGAAGCCACACCTAGTACCCCCTTCAAAAATGAATCCATTCGGGACCGCTCCATATCGACGCAGATCCGAGAGCTTCCATTGCCCCATTATGGTGGGTGGGAGATCTTTTACGAGGACTAGAATGTCATTGCAGAGGTGAAGAGTAGCCGGTCCACTCTCCAGCTTTGTGCCAGGTGCTACAGCAACATGAAACCGGTGAACTATTAAGGAGCAAAAAAAAAAAAAAAAAAAAAAAACAATTAATTATGGTAGCAAACAGGAAAAAACAAACAAGGATGTTTGTAACAGAAACCAACCAGTTTATTTAATAGTGTTCTGTCAACTGAGTCCTGGCTACTATGCCATTTGGATCTACCATTGTCAGATACAGTTCTCAGAGCATTTTTCCCCTCTAATAGTTCTAGGTAGCACCCAAATAGTATGGCAATGGCAGCCACAGACCAGCTGCACAGGTATTAGGCCAATTCAGCTTTTGGAGCAATGCATTCAGGCCGTGAGCCACAGCTCAGCAACATGAGAGAGCCAAGAGAGACGCTCTTAAAGGCAATGTGTTCCTCGGTGGTTTTGTTTCCTCCCCCTGCTGCCTTCTCCCAAATGATTTCCTTCATGTTTAACCATCAGTACCTGAGAACAAATATATTCAACCTTAAGTAACTGCCCTCCAATAAGGAGTAGAAACATCCAGACAATATGGCCACACTCGCCCTCAATTACATTGATTGCTTAACTTGTTTCTACATCTCCCCCAACCTTCCTTTCCCTCCTTCAATGATTCCTTCCCCACCTACACAGCCCCTCCACAGGCATTTGTGCGGCTGCTGAAAGAGGAGAGTGGGGGGGAATACCTCACTTTGGTGCTTCCTGCTCTCAGCCTCCAGCCTGCTCTTCAGAAGGAACCACTGAGCCTTTACAGTGTAAAGATTCATATGTCCTTTCACATGTCAACCATCATTCCAGAGAATCCATGCTGATGACGGGTTTCGCTTGATAACAATCCTTGATAACAGACCAATGCATGTTCATTTTCATCATCTGAGTCAGATGCCACCAACAGAAGGTTGCTTTTCTTTTTTTGGTGGCTCAGGTTCTGTAGTTTTTGCATCGGAGTGTTGCTCTTGTTACACACCTTGTCACCCTCAGATTTTGGAAGGTACTTCAGATTCTTAAACCTTGAGTCCTGTAGTTGTCTACAGAAATCTCACACTGGTACCTTCTTTGTGTTTTATCAAATCTGCAGTGAACGTGTCTTAAAATAAATAGTATGTTCTGGGTCATCATGCAATTGTCCCCCTCCCCCCTCCCCAAGGAGTTCAGCGGCAAATTTAATTAACAGATTATTTCTTTAATGAATATCATCAGCATGGAAGCATGTGCTCTGGAATGGTGGCCAAAGCACGACAAGGCATACGAATGTTTAGCATATCTGGCATGTAAATACTTTGGAATGCTGACAACAAAAGTGCCATGTGAAAGCCTGTTCTCACTTTCAGGTGACATTGCAAATAGGAAGCAGACAGCAGTATCTCCCGTAAATGTACACCAACTGGTTTGTCTTAGCGTTTGGCTGAAGTAGGAGAACTGAGTGGACTTGTAGGCTCTGAAGTTTTATATTGATTTGTTTTTTAGTGTAATTATGCAACAGAAAATCTATTTGGGTAAATTGTATTTTCACAATAGACAGAAGCACTACAGTTCTTGTAAGAGATGAACTTAAAAACACTTCCTTTTGTTTATTTTTACAGTGCAAATATCTGTAAAAAAAGATCATATAAAGTGAACACTATACTTTGTGCTCTGTGTTTTAATTTAAATCAACATATTCAAAAATGTAGAAAAACATCCAAAAATATTTAATAAATTTCAATTGGTTGAAATTGAAATTGGTTGAAATTGTATTGTTTAATAGTGTGATTAAAACAGTGATTAACCTTGATTAATTTAAGTTAATCGTGTGAGTTAATGGCAATTAACTGACAGCCCTAAAGTACTTAAGACGCATATTTATTTATATATCTTTCACACTAAGCCCAAAAGCTGCCTACTCATCACTAAAAATCTACAGAGAAACCCCTAAAGAACCAATTCTTATAACTGTTCTTCCCTTCCCCGACTATTCAAATGTCAGAAGATTTAACTTGGATCTGATTTTTTGCTTTTCATATAAATATTCTGCTGTATTCTTCAGTAAAGTACCATCTAGCTGAAAGTCAACTCAGCATCTTCCCTAAAGTCTTAGCAGAATTATCTAGGGATGTTAGATATTGGGTAATTGAATAATCGTGTAGTCACATGAAATCTTAGCGGTTTCACAACTATTCAATAGTCCCCAGGGGCACAGAAGCCTCCCCTGCCATCTCCCCCTACTGCTGTCTCTGGGTGTGTCTAGACTACTGAGTTTTGTCAACAAAAGTGGACTTTTGTCGACAAAACTAAACCTGCGTCTACACTACCGCTGAGTTCTGTCGACATAACGTCGACAGAACTCAGCAGTTTTGTTGACGCTGGTAAACCTCATTTTACGAGGCATAACGCCTTCTGTCGACAGAGTTCTGTCGACAGAAGGTGTTATTGCCTGTAGGGTTGCGTCTAGACTACAGGGTTTCGTCGACAAAGCAGCTTGCTTTGTCGACAGAACTGAATGTTTCTAGACGCTCTATGTCGACAGAAGTTTTGTCGACAGTATCTGTCGACAAAACTTCCGTCGACAAAACCCTGTAGTCTAGACGTACCCTCTGATAGAGGCAGCAGCACCGGGGGGTGGGGGGGAGGCAGATGGCACCACAGAGTTGGTGCTGGGGGGGAAAACCAGCTTTTAAGCCAGCTCCTCCCAGCACCGGCTCTTGTCTGCTCCCCTCGCTGCCTCTGTAGAAGGCAGCAAGGGTGGGGGACAGGCAGGTCTGCAGAGATGGCACATGCAGAGATCCTGCTTGAAAGCCAGTTTTATCTGCTCCAGCTTGCCTCCCTCACCCTCTGCGCTACCGCTTCTCTATCAGAGATAGCCAGCTCTTCACGAGTACCGGCTCACACTCTTCCCCCTTGCTGCCTCTAATACTGAGGCAGCAAGGGAGGAGAGTGAACATAGCCAACAAGATTAGCTGGTAAGCCACGACTTACTGGTTAATCATATATCAGACTAAACGTTAACATTCCTAGAATTAACCACAAAATTAGTAAAGAAAAATATAAGAGAGAGCCAAAGAAGAGACCTCACCATAGCTTTACTCGTAGCCTTGCCCCAAAACACCATGGGGGAACAAATCTATGTTCAGTTCACACCATTTTTCTGGTGTATAATTATGGAACACCAATTTATTTTGAAAAACTCAATGCACTACCAAAGCAAAACCAAATTATCACCGCTTATAGAATGTTCCATATTCAGTCTAGCATCAACTTGGACATCTCTTGGAGGTTACCTCTGTTTCTAGGGGTATGTCTAGACTGCATCCCTCTGTCGACAGAGGGATGCAGATTAGGCAGGTCGACACTGCAAATGAGGCAGGGATTTAAATATCCCGTGCCTAATCTGCATAAAAATGGCCGTCACGTTTTGCCAACTCAACACTTTGTCCGCAAAAAGTGGCAGTCTAGTGGGAGTGGGAGATCTGTCGAGAATGAAAGCCTTTTTCGACAGATCCTGTAGAAAGGTTTTCTTTCTCGACAGATCCCCTTCTAGACTGCCGCTTTTTGCTGACAAAGTGCTGAGTTGGCAAAACACGGCAGCCATGTTTATGTAAATTAGGCACGGGATATTTAAATCCCTGCCTCATTTGCAAATACCTGCCTAATCTGCATCCCTCTGCCGACAGAGGGATGTAGTCTAGACATTCCCTAGGAGATGGAGCTTTGTAAACAGCCCTAATTTATAGGCTGCCAGGCTATGAGCTTAGTGATTCTGTTCCACCCCCCCATTTAAGGGATAAACAGCATAACAAAGGATTGCCAGCTCCAAAGGCAGCATGAATCAAAGATCTGCAGCTAGAATTCCAGAATCACCCCTAAAACGTGCCATTTCATCCATCTAAATACCCCCAAAAGTGAGGAACAATTAGATCTGGCACAAAACTGCAATATAGGCAAAATCTGAAGTAACCACAGAAAGCAGCAGTTTTTCCTACCTGAAATGTAACCTTTCCAGTGGAGTCTGCAGTTCTTCCATCTCACTTTACATAGGAGCACAGAACCTGCTCCGTAATACTTAGGATCTTATATTTGGATGTGTCTGTGTCTTATATTTGGATGTGTCTTATTTCCTGTAACCCCAACCTTTCATCGGCTCCTTGTCCTTCCAAGACCTCCAGTCTATCAACATGCCTGCACCTGGGGGCTCACGCTCTCTGCTCTCACCTTCAACAGCTCTCAAGTTGGGTCCCTTAATTCCACTTGCTCCTTCAAACCCAGACTCTTTTGCTTCTCTCTGCCCACCATCCATTTCACAAACCACATTATACCTACTCCCTCTGCAGAACACTTCTAGAGGAAACCCATATGCTTCCACTCCAAGTTCATCTGCTCCCCATTCTGTTCTGCCATCTTTCTTGAAAAATTGTTCCAGTTCTCCTCACTAACAGCATCCCATACCTACAACCCTCACTTCTCATTTTCCACCTTTACTGCCCCCTCAAACCGTTAACCTCCTTCCTTAGATTCCAAGACCAGAAGGGTCCCCTCGGATCATGTAGTCTGATTTGCTCCTTAACATGGGTTATAGAACTTCCTTCTCAAGCCAGGATTTCATTGACTTCGAAGAGAGGATTGTCAGGAATGAATTTCTTCCATCCTGTCCCAATATCCTTTTCTCCTTTATCTTAGTCAGACTCAGGTCTCTTGCTCACTGTCCATTTCCAGCCCTTCCTCTTCCGAGTTTGGGCCCATGGCGTATAAGCACATTCTATTATCCCCATCCTCAAAGAACCAACCCTCAGATGGTTAATTTCCTTCTTCCTTTCACATCTACGCAGAACTCCCTCCTGGATTCTCTCCTGTCTTACTTCTGCACTGTGCTCTCCATTGAAACTGGGATCCAAAGAGTTCACCTGATCAAGTTTAACACATTCCATTCTGTCCTCATCCTCCTCGATCATCTTCAGCTTTCAATAAGCTCTGCTCTTCATTCTACCAACCTTCATGCCTCTTCAGTTCTTTTCCCACACTCCTATCTCCATGTCTTCCACACTGCCCTTATGCTTGGCACAACTCATGATCTACCAGGTTCCCCTTACAACTCATTCAAGTGCTTCTTAACGGCTCACTTCTACCACACTCACACACACAAATATATATTACATGCTTTCTCTTTCCCAACACTGCATTAGAGGGAGCCTAGGAAAACCAAAAAAACGCTGCCATGTCTGCACTCTCCTCCACATCTCTCAGTGCACCTGTCTTTTAGACCATAAGCTTCTCAGGCAAGTATTGTCTTTGTATAGTGTCAAGCTCTTTGTCAAGACTTAACAGGTGATAAATTATACATAAATAATCATTATAATCAGTAATAATAAATGTATGTTCCCCATGCTTTACCAAATCCTAGAGGCCAATTACCCGCTATCAGAAATCTTTGGCCACTACAGCGAATTTCAGGCTGCAGAACTGAAAACCAACGCCATACTAGAACCTACAGAGAATGTAATCTTTACTGTGAGGTTCTCCCACCAAGTGTATTTGAGGAAGGGTGTTCACCAGCACCGGACACGATCTATTCTAGAGTGCAGAACTGGGGAGTGGGAGTCGGGATTCTAACCATGGCTCTCCCACTCAGGTTTTTTCCTCCCTGAGCATGAAGATTTGTCATGAATCCATGTGTTAGAGACACAAGTAAAAGATAAAGCTGACAAACACCTGACCTGGATCACTGGATCTAGAGCCTGGCCTCTCTGTTCCAAGAAAACAAAAAGCCTCTAATACTTGAGCCAAAGATGACAGAAGAAGCAAGTTCACAAATGTTACATTATACTATACTCTCTGTGGCACAGCACTATTTGGCAGCATCATGCACACCTACACACACTTCATGCAATAGTGGATCTGGTGCTCACAAAGAAGTGAAAGCTGTTTGTCTTCAGGGACAATCTTGTCCATATGGGTACAACTTCTGGCATTTCAGCTATAGTTTTGTTTGCTTTCTTTCCAAAGGAGAAAGGAAAGAGACAAGACAAAGGTTACCTTCCCCTAAACTGTAGCGAATCCGTACATCCCATGCATACATTGTTTCCTTGTTGTCAAATCCCAGCATCACGACTTGAGATAGACAGATGATAGCGAGTGTGTGATTTAAGCCCTCATAGGAGAGCCCAGGATCCAGACCACAGATATCTTCTAAGGTCACACTGCTCCTCTCCTTATGTCCTTTGGCTCGCTCCGATTTATCCTTGTACACCAACATGACTAAGCAATCTGAAAGAAGCAGAGCGGTCAGAGAACCTGACATGTAATGAACACAATTCTCAGTACTTGACTTAAGAAGAAAAAAAGCTTTTGGACTTAGTGTGGTATTTGATGCAGGGCCAGAATCCTGCAATTCCCTGCATGAGAATGGACTTCTGAGTCTGGGCAGAGCCTCACTGATTTCAAGGGGCACAATGCTGACATTTCAGTTCATCCTTGAACAAGAAGTTGCAAGGTTTGAACTTAAATGCTATAGATTAACATTCGATACTTTGTTTCAATTTATTTTTATTCGTGGTTTCTTGGAGAGCCCCTGCAGGATGTATCCAGGACTTGTATTAGTAGCTTAAGATTTGACCATTTTTTTATGATGATGCTATTATACTCTAGACCAGTGTTTCTCAAAGTGGGCCATGGGCCTCATTTGGGAAAGCTGCTAACAGACCACTCTGATTTTTTTATCTAAAGGCTCCATAACCATGGAGCCTCACAGCTCCCATTAGCTCTGATTTGCCATTTCCTGTGATCGCAGAAAGCTCTACAGTTGCTGCCTTGACAGCCCAGCTCTGAAGGCAGCACATAAGTGAAGGTAGCAATCCCATGACCCCCCTAAAACAGGTTTGTAATTTAGGTCAGGGCCCCATGCTTACAAAACAATGAAATGTTAGGTTTAGAAAGCTGACAACAAAAAATCTACCAATTTTCAAATCCATGAAATTGGCCATAATGGACCATGAATTTGGTAGGTCTCTAATGATGAGCACCAACATGGAAGTAATGTGTCAGGTTGGGATACAAGGCTGTGAGGGCTCTGCCTGGGGACACAGGCTGTGGGGTGGTGCAAGGGATGAGCTGCTTAAGGCTAGGACAGGTCCCTGCACTGCACAGCTTCCTCGAGTACCTACCCAGTGCTAAATGAGCAGCTACACAGCCACAAAGCTTACAGGAAACTTAGGGTCCAGGGCCTAAGTCAACTGAAACTTGTGACCCAATGATTCTCTTCTGAGTGACCACATTCATGTACTCATTACGGGCATGCACATTGTTTTCCACATACTTCATGTCATAAACAGCAATTTTCTTAAATTATGGTATTATAATATTAAAAGAGCTAGTTTTTATATCAGTAGTACAAGTACTGCAGTCTCATGTTAAAACATCTTTGTGATGCTGCAAATTTAAATGAAAAAATATGTTTTTAACTTGAAAGGGTAAAAAATTCACAACATTCCTTATCTATGTTATATGGAACACAAATACTGCCAACCCCTTGCAACTGAAATTCATGAATCAGGCCCCCAGTCCTGAAATTTTAAATATATTAAATTTGGAGTTCTTTTGGTTTGCTTTCTGATCTCTTGAAATTGTATACTACACTTGAATAATACTTCTACGTTTTTTTTTCTTCACAACCCTGAAATACATTTAAGAAAAGAATGAGTTGTACTCATATGCTTCCAGGAATGTTCAAGAAAAACACTCAATATTATAAATCTCATAATAAAAACAAAAAGTGGGCAACACTGTAACACTAGAGATTATTAAAATAAAAAGGATTTTTATTAAAAATAGTCATATTTACTTTTCACTACTTATGAGATTGAATTTGTCACTCTTCCTTTCTGAAACAAAATTTCCATTCCCTTCATTAGAAATTAACTGAAAAATTTGGATCATTCTTTCTTTCATTTCAGTTTGGACAGTGAAAACAGATGAGCCAGTTTATAGTCAGCTTGACTCTTCTTGAGCTCTAACAGAACCCTAGAAAAGGAAACACTTCAGGGAAACGTTATCTAGTGAATATTTTAATATCATAGGAATGTTTGTTTTGATTTTAAATTCTGTAAGAGTCTTAGGTTTACAAACTGTGACACTGACAATCATTTGTCCCAACTGAGTGTGGGTAGAAATGGAAACAAATCTCAGTCCTGCAATCTGATTCTCAAGGGCAGACTCCTGTGTCTGCATGCTGTCCTGTTGACTCCAGTGAGATATTGGTTCCAATTAAATTAAAAGATTCCGGTGTTTGACTGTGTAGTCAGATTGTAAGATGGGGGCACTTTCAAGAAATATAGTTGCCATGCTGTCAACGTTCACAGTTTTAGCACAAGTCTTGTGGTATTTGGAGACACAAATCATGAAGACAAGTCACAGAGTCTCAGGGTTTGTTTATTTTTTCCTGTAGGTGGGAAACAGTTGTCTAATAGTCTGTGAAAATGTTTGAGAGTTGAAGAAGGTTTTTATTGTGCAGAGACAAAAGTGAGACCTTTTTGAGATTTTTGTGAAGCATTTGGGCAAGAGCCTCTCCCATCTGGTTCCACAGATTTGTGCTTGCTCTCATGGTACCATGCCAAAAAGAGATGTTGTTGCATCTCGTACTGCAGCTCAAACTAGAAGCTAACAGGGCCCCCAAAGTCTGAGCTGAAAATGCCACTGTGACCAAACAGAATGAAAGAGGCAGTGAGACAAAGACGTCTTTTAAACATTAGACATCACAGAATACTAGAAGTGGAAGGGACCTCAAGAGATCAAGTCCAGTCCCCTGTCTTCATGGCAGGAACAACCCCAGTCTATATCATCCCTGATAGATGTCTGTCCAACCTGCTCTTAAATATCTCCTGTGATAGAGATGACACAAAATCCCTGTGCAATTTATTCCAGTGTTTAAGGAAGTTTTTCCTATTGTCCACCTAAACCTCCCTTGCTGAAATTTAAGCCCACTGCTTCTTGTCATATCATCAGAGGTAAAGAAGAACAATTTTTTTCCTCTCTCCTCCTTGTAACACCCTTTAGATACTTGAAAACCACTATGATGTCCCCTTTCAGTCTTCTCTTTTGTAGACTAAACAAGCTCAGTTCTTTCAGTCTGGCCTCATAGCTCGTGTTTTATAAACCTTTAAAAATTTTTGTTGCTCTTCTCTGGACCTTCTTCAGTTTCTCCACCTCTTTCTTGAAATGTGGTGCCCAGAACTGGACACAATACAGGCAGTCCCCGGGTTATGTAGAAGATAGGGACTGTAGGTTTATTCTTAAGTTGAATTTGTATGTAAGTCGGAACTGGCGTCCAGATTCAGCCGCTGCTGAAACTGACCAGCGGCTGACTA